TGGAGTGCTTGTTTCTAAATGGTGGCCGACAAAGTTTACGAGTTCAAGGCTGCAATTTATTAGCTGTCCTTTGAGTCCACTAACTTAAAGCCATTTCATTCAGTCGCTTCTGTAGCCCAGTGTAAGATAATATGTTTCGTCCACACTGTGTACGTAGTAAACTCAAACGAACCTATTTAATAAAAGAAAATTGCGCAAAAATATACTAGTGCTAACACTGGTAACATAAACATCAATTTTGTATAACTTGTCACATTAGGTTTAGCATAGATCTTCTGTAGATTGACCATCTGGTGCATCCGCTGCCAAAGTAGAAAAGAGTTCGGCATAGCTGAATGTACCCCACTGTGGCTTTTTTGATCGACTCTTGCTATATGATTTAGATGGGAATAGTTTGCACCTAGAACACACGTCTGAAAATACTACGTTAACAACAAAGCATGCTTTGTTCTGTCACCGCAACTACAATCGGCCCCCTTATTTGTTTATGTACATTTAACTATCTCGTATAGTTTACAATCAGCTTACGTAAAATTTCCACCAAGTTGCGCTTATCTTATAGTAATTTAACTTTTCAGCTTCGTTTACGTTTGACGTCGAAATAACAGCGAACCTTAGCTCATTCTGAACTCTGATTCGACGGCAGCTATGAATGAAACAACTATGAAGAACCGTTAAGAGACAGCCATCGAATCAGTGAACAGTGTTGACCAGACCGTGTAATCTACTGTAGTTCACACCTAATAGTTTTCAGTTTCAGTACGGCCTATTAGAGCTATAGGTACAGGTAAAAGCTCCGCCTTGGAATAAACGTAACGTTCGGTTTCGTCTTCAAATTTCTGCACAAGTCATTTCCTCTCGATGGCAGTGCCTGATCTGCCTACCATTCATAACTGCCCTAGCCATCCGTATGTTATTCTATATCCTTATGTCTATTGTAGACTGCTCCAAAAGTAGCATAGGATTGTTAGGCTGTGTCGACTTGGTGCTATGTTCAGGCACCGTTTTGAGACAAGCCGAACAGAGGCGACACTTCGCTTGCGTCTCTTCAAATCCAATTGACGGCGACTTAAATTCAGATGTTGTTTATCGTTTATGAAGTATTATTTTTTAAAAGATAAACGATCTACTTCGGCTGATATCTCAAGGCGACAAACGTAGATCTCTTGGGCCAAAAGCGAGCACTGTGTGAGGCAGACGTGTTTCAGATTCACCATAACAATAAATTCATCCAATTTAACTAATAGCCGTAATGGACTGGGTGTGAAAGCTCTAGATATAAGTGGGCTACCCGTCCAGTGCTACCACTACTCAGAGGTCATCTTCGAGTCCACCGCTCCTCGTTTTGTTGTAACAAGTAAAGCTGCGCTATTTTTATTAGCTATCGAAATTGGTTTCTTATTCTTTCTAATTGTAAGCTATACAGGCAAGACTTGAACTATGTCACTTTCCAAGCTCTCCTTCGGCACAAGCCCACGACAAATAGATTTCACCCAGCTTTCGTACTATAAGACCGAATGATTGTACAATCGTTTGCATTGGGGCACACTTTATCGACGACCGGTGTTCACAGCCAAGTGCGTAGCTTTTAACCTAGCGAAATCCTTTGATGATATATAGATAGCAGCGATAGACCTTGCTATATTTCTTCGAAGCCAATGTTATACAACAGGGCCTTTGTACGGATAGCCCACGATTTGAGCACAAGCAAGAACGCTATTACCCAAAGTGAAAGGTTATATAACTAATAATTAATGATTTGTTTATAATGCCATGGTCTCTCTTCGAATGAAAATTAACCGAAACAAAATTAGTACTGCGGTGCGTTTCCTAACAGAGTGTAGGACTCTACTCAGGGCAGCATAAACGTATTGTAAGAGGAACAAAGCTAGAATTTATTTTTGAAAAAGGGTAGTCGATAAGCTGCTAACGAAATAAAAAACGAGGTTTTCTAATGTAAAACGGTGCGAGTAAATAGTTAGTCAGGACGTGAACCTTAAATACGGTCTGTGCAAGTATATTCATGTGCTAGTTAACTTTCATGGCTATAACATTCTAGCCTATACTTATAGGCTAGGATGTTAGGGGCAATAGGTCGAAAAGAGACTCAGCGTATCGAAATAATTTCTCTCAAGTACTCCGAACACTGCCATTAATAATTCTGGTCAATTTAGGATACAGTAAAAAAAACGAAGATGGAAAAGTGGCTGACAATCTGTCCGGATTTTTCACCACCGTGAGCGACCTTCATCGATTCGTGGTCCTTAAAAGCTATATATATATATATATATATTGTTCTCTGGATAATCTATTGCAAAATCTGAATTCGTAGGATCCATCGACAAGTCTGCACTAAGGAAGAGATCGGGACGGTAAAACCGTTTGGAAAACTAACAGTCCCGCAATAGAAGACTATTGAGGAAGGAAAACTTCAACAGTATCTATATATGGTCGTTCTATGCGCAGTATACGAAGTCATTACAGCGCTAACGAATCACGGTTATATAAAACAACTTTATTATTTGACTGCTATATTATTCAACGTTGCATTTAGCACTTTTCATATACAACATATATATATATATATAGGGACTGCACTAATTTACGAAATGTGGAAATATTTAAAATGAATATTGAAGGCATTTGAGCTGTTATCGGAACGTATGCTAAAAGATTTGCCACCGTGCCATTAGCGACTGTCCTGACATTGTATTCAGCCAACTCTACCCATCAAGCATTATTCACAAATCTATAAGAAAATGCAGCATATGCTATTGGAGCGTTCCTGCGTGGCCTGCCTTTTTCAGAGTTGCTGGCAGCCAGTCAGAAATGACAATCCACGAGACGAGGCCCTCGACAAGCACTCGTTCAGTTTATTGTCATGGACCGATGTGAAGTAAATTCGCCTGGCTGAGCTCAATTCGCGTGCTTGGTTAGGTAGGACTACGCAGACGAGCAAACGAAGTTCGAGAGGTACGTGGCGACAGGTTGACTGTGCCCTTGCTTCCCATACATTGAGATCACATCGCTTCGGTGCGCGCGAGAACGACTCAAGCACCTCTTCAAGTTGTTCTCCGCTTACGCCTTGGTTCGCCCTCTTTCATTCTACCAGAAAAGCACTCACCGAGTATCTAAGTATTCGCAGTAGTCGTGCAGAAGGCATCCGCGCAAACGGCATGTCAACTGAAACGTATTAGAAGCGCACGATGCACGTGTGTATTCTGTAGGTACATCCCAGCCTAGGAGGAAGCCCTATAGAAGGTAACTTAGTTAAGGTAATCGTCATATTACTGCAGTGCTTTCAGAGTGCTCGTAATATCTAGAAATGCTGCCATCTTCCGACCTTCGATAACACTGGTATTATTGTGATTGTTTTTTAATTCGTGCTTCGAGTTAGTAGCTGCGGACAAGCACAGGTCCAAGACGATTGCATTGTGGTCGTTGAGACAGTTCTTGAAGCTTGGAAACAGGTCAAGCTTCGGAAAAAATGACGGCGCATTATACAGATTTGTGCAGGTCTTGTTTGGTACTAAATCCCAAATACATCTTTGCAATATTTCGATTGCTTTAGCTTTGCTACTTATCAGAGAAGTTTAATATATCTGTCATGTATGCAATAGCCAAAAATATAGTTTTGTTTTTGTATAACATCGTATAGTAAGTTGTCTTAATGCAGTGTAAAACCTTCGGTTCAGCGGATGTAACTTTAATAAAAGATTCTTATGTGTTTCGTTGTAAGTAATAGGCCAATATTTAGACAGCCTGGTCTTATGGTAGTCTTCTACGGAGCAACGCAAAAGGAGTTCCTGGAGGGCTCGTTGCATGTATGTACACGCATAGCTAGTGCGATAAGATGAGCTAGAGGAGAAGGAGGCATGGAAGAGGGAATAGAATGAGGATACACCACATATAACACTAGTTGGATAGCTGGTCCTTTATCACATTCGGCCAGGGCAGCTGCGATATCTACGTTCGAGGGTTAGGGTAGGTGACGAATCACCGTCAATATGTGGTGGGGTGGGACCCCAAATGGAGACAACTTGCTGACGCGATTTACTACAGCTATTATGGGGGTCCACAGCAGCAGCATTACCCGCTGGTCACATTATCATTGGGCACAGCCATCTATACGAGAATATATGGCGGATATTAAGCTTTATTAACCCACTACTCTAAGGCCATTATTTCAAGCTCTATAGGGCTTTTTATTCTAAACTGAGCATTAGATGATTCGAAACTAGCGACAGAACACGATCTTTGCTACGGCATTGCAGGATTCTGACAAAATACGGTTTTTCTCGATTTCACTTTGGAGCAGAATAAGGAACCCATAAAACTATTAAATAACGAGTCACTATCATCGATTGGCACGGAAAATACTGAACTCTTCTACATCTTAAATATTATAGCTATTTTATAGGAGATGGATAATATCTTCTAAAACTTGGCCGCACTTCTCTATTCAAGCTTGAACAGGATAACCAACTACATTTACGGAGTTGATCCAAACTCTCATCCAAAAGTACCTTTACCTCTGATTTGATTTGTTTCCGAGAAAGTTTATCTCAGCACAACATTCGTATGCGACTATCCGTCGCTTTATATTCGATCTAACGTTTGTTTTTCTTCAGTGGCCAGATAGAAATAAAAAGAAAATTCGAGTACGATGAAGTATCTGCTATCTGATAGTTAGATATTATATTCTCAATTCTATTGTTAGCATGTAATCTAAATATATAAATCTATAGAAATAAGGTAAACTAAATATCGATGCTTACATTATTTCTTCTGTAACCTTGTAGAACATCTCTATAGGCAAAAAGCTACGGTTTAATGCTAGTTCGGAGTGATGACTAACAACGATTAAAATGTTTTGCTGCCAGCTGAATCATACCCAGCCGTCTCCTTAACCCCGCATCAGATGCGAGTACAGCTCCCTCTTTTTCAAAATCATCCAAAATTTTTTGAATGCAATAATCTTTCAGAGATAACGACGTACACTTAAATTCGTTTTACCCAGCACATCTGAAGGTAATGGGAAGATGTCTGTCCACAACTAACATACGTCCATCCATACGGATGTATCTCTATACGCAAATAAACTGTTTGTTAATAACTATAATAATACTGTTCCCAATATAATATATAACACGAGTCATATTCCTCTAATATGTGTTCTTCTACGAGGATGAGTTTCAATGTGTGCATTTGTTTAGCGTGTGGTGACCGTACCTTTCATAAATATTCATTTGGATTTCGTGTGTGAAAAGCAGAGCTCTCGTTCTCCGTCCATTGAAACGTTGATCATCGTATGCTTCAGCCACACGCTCGCGTGCATGGATCCAGCCATGAGTTCACGGAGAACACCGAAGAGCCAGCGAAGAATCGTATCCTATATGCACGCCATCGAGAAAGGCCACGTTTGGCCAGCTTTAGGAAGTTAGGAAGGAAGCCAATCGCTAGCAGCTATTAGTTATAATATGTACGCGCTCTTTGAAACTGATCCATAGATATTTATTTGTATGCTTGCAGGTAAAGTAAGGTCAATAGGCGTTCTATGAAAAACAGCCCGTTTTCTGACGGTAAAAATGAAAAGCTAATCAAATGCAAGAGCTCATTTTAACCGAACGTAGAATTTTCCTTAGAATGTTTCAGCCAGTATTATTCTATGGAAAACATAAAATACTCATACCTGCAGCACTTTAATCCAAGTATTTGTATTATAAAATGTAGTATGTTTATTTTATAAGCTTATATCACAAAAACGAAATACTTCAAGTAAAGCTATGGCCGGTGACATGCAATACAAATCCGTGTGATAATAATGACAAGAACATGTAGTGCAAGAACGCTTCGATCGTAAATTACAAATGACCGCAAAGCACAATCGAAACATCGAAGCGCATAACGAACTTCGAAAATTTCTAAATTATTTTGGGTTGAAGTACTCGACATAACTTAGAAATGTTTCAACTCTGGAAGGGAACAAAACGGTCCGGTGCAGGGTATGTCATGTCTACAAGCTACACAAGTGAACACAGACTACATCATGTAGATCTAATCGCTTCTAGATCTAATTTCCCTTGATACTAATTGGATGTCCAATCTTTTTTACAGAAATCCTTGAAAGCAACGTGGCCCCATCCTTTCGTTAATAGTATAACAGTGTCGGTGTTATACGGAATTATGGGTTATGGACACGAAAAGAAATATCGTATAACGGTTATTCAAATTATATACGGCTCGCGCCGAAACTGACTATTCGGATCTCAATGTGCTCTGTATCTGCTGGGTTTGATAGTCAATTAAAAAAAAACCAATTCCATCTATGGATGGACTAATGCGGGTATTTATATATACGAAAACTGACAACAACACGACCCCAATAAGCGCTTCAATTTTTTTGAAGCAGTATGTGATAAAAACTGCGTCAGTCATCGTACTGATACAATATGCACAAATAATATAACAAAAGAGATATTCTGCATGTGAATTGCCTTATATTAAATTAATTGATTTTTAAACTCAAAATGTCCCATGACATGGCACTTTTGTGTTCTACCTACCATCTCCGCCGGTTCGTACAAGAACCGAACAACAAGGAATCTCAAAATACGACCAAATACGAGATTCTGCTCGACAACTGTCGGGGAAAGTGGGAATCATTTGCTACATCCTCTATATTTAATTTACCTGTTGTTACCTCTGAGAAGCAAAAGTTCTCTGACAGATTAGCTTAAGGACACCTAAGATATAATAATTAGAAAATACGATCGATATTCTTGAGTCCAGTATTTCACACCGCTTCGATAGCTAGCGTTATGGTCGTATAGTTGAGAGCTTCTGTTACAGTTCGATTACGTGAAGCGTTCGACTTCTGAATTTGTGCGGGGCGCTTCGAGCTTGCAGGCCACCCTTTAATAGCTTATGTTATAAAATTTAAAGTTGGCTTATATAACCGCCGTTTAATTATAGAGATAAGCTTCGAAAATGTTCCTCAGCTGTACTATTGAGAGGTCAGCATAGAAGAAAGCCGACCTGTGTGATCCTCAATCATCCGCTTCTAGATTTCTTCTAACGATGGATTAGACATAAGTGTTCTGGACACGTCAATAATTGTCTGGTTAAACATGGTACATAGTTTAAGTTATTTGGAAAAATCTCAACTAACAAAACCAAAATAGGTATACGATAGATATGATGATATTGAAAGGTTATGATTTATGCTTGACGGGGCTTATCGATTGCTTATTATCTATTGGCACCGTAGGCGTTATTTACTTAAAAACGATATTCTGCATTTTCTTTGTAGGAACTTAGTTTAACAGACCTGCTCGATAGAAAGATACTGTATTGTAAGCCAGGTCGAAAGTATCGAAGAGACAAAAAAAAAACAAATGTTATAAAATAAGCAATACGACATATTTTTATTGCTTTACCTAACACAAAAAATTTCAAAATGTGATCGCAGAGCTGGCCTTCAGATCAAAGTGGGACAGAACAGGGTACCTCTTATTTTAGATAGATCGTTTCTCAATACCGTCCTAATCCCCGTTCTTTTTTTCTTCTTTCTGCAAGTTTCCGAATGTCGGTGGGGCGTCATCCGATAGAAAGCGGGTATGCTTGAAAGTGCCGATCTTCAACGGCCTGCCTGAGACCGATGGACAGATGCCAGCGCAAAGGACAAAACAGGCCAAGGAACCGTTTTTCCTTATGCTTAATTGACATCCCTACACCGTGTGAAAGTTAAGCTTCCGAACTAACGTCCTGCCTAACCGAAGGCTCTCACATAACTCCTGTTTCATATTAGAAAGCGTTTAGAGCTGATCTGTACATTAATCAACTATTACTGCCAAATCAAACAAACCACCAGCTGTTAATGTGTCGCCTATGCGCATTTATCCTCTATGTCTTAAGCTCTGCCTAATTGCCTATTGTTACAATATGCGGTTAGCTATACGCGTAACCCAGATAACTGGTACTGCCCACTTGGGGTTGGGCGCCAATCAAATAAATGAGGAAGATTCGCTATAGAGAACATTATACATTTACTTGACCGACGTCAAAAATGACAGCGAAAATTTAAATATATAGGCTCAATATAATCTTACCACCTCTGTCTACAATCCATTAGTTGCTTTAAGTGAATGAAAGTGAATGTATTTGCGGAACAGCGTAATAAACCTTTCCATTGTACCCCAGCTCGATTATAACAGTTCTATCGGGGATAGCTTCATTAACTGTCAGACACCCTATATCAGCTGTTTAGTTGAACAGTGGGGTTCTACAACACACGAACATAAATGGCAGCCCTAAAGGCGAAACAAAAAACATACATATATTTTATGCTCTCTCTCCGGCCTTTCTTTTGTCATGTGACGTTCATCTCTTTGTAACGTGTCGTTTATATACAATGCACAGTTGCTTACAGCAGTGTCACACTACAAAGTACTGCGGATTCTACTTCTCAGAAACAAATTTGCACGTTACAAAGAAAACGTTAGACGACCAAATCTGCCCGAGTGTATGATATTTCCCCCGCTACGGCTGAAAACAAATTATTACTCGCCGTGTTAATCCTCGTATTTATCGAGGACATATTACAAATTCTAATCCAAAGGGATTCTCGAAAACCTAAGTATAGTTTTATATGAAGCTGGACCTTGAACTGGAACAGCTTATGCCGCTTGGGTTAGGAATAAGCTTATTTGTAAATAATTTTTTTTATTTTTTAATTGCAAACAATTCATATTTGTACAGAAATTTTTTATCTGTATAAAAAATAAGTTCTTGCAATCCGAGCGTCCCGTACTTATGTAGGAGAACAATGGCTTATTGACAAATGCTACGTTTTCTCTCAGTCTAAATGAGTATCTCGTGTGTTACGTTCGGCACCGCCATAGCGAACGCACCCGAAGCTCGCTTTGTGTCAGGAGCCAGCCGTCTGAATATCTGAGCGATATCTGAAGAAGGATTTTCGATTGCGTCTTTTGTTAAATGCCGTTGAAACGTTTCTGCGAGGAAGAACTGAGTTTGCTGTGCGACGAAAGATACGTAGCGTTCCCACATTAATTATCTAAACACAATTTTCTTCTACGTAGTGGAGGCGTGGTACAATTTAAAAAAAAAGCAAATGAACTAAGCGTTTCGTAAATGTATAGTAAACTGTGAACAGATATTGTGTAAACAAAGACGTTCCTTAGTCAACGTTAACACTGACATCGTGGGCTACATCCTGTAACCTTTGTAAATTGTTCGCCTCCGTAATCTCTCGGCTGTCGTAAATTTCAATATGAATGACATATGATTTTTCCCATCTGATATATGGCCAATCACAGGTCGGGGAGAAAGACGATCTTGGCATAATGGTCTATTATCGCCAGTGTGCAATAACTATAGCGAGGCGTCGTGACAATTATTTTTTACCTATTTTTTTAGTGTGTTGCATCGTGTTCATGTAGATCTGTATGTTTGTTTTCAGTATATGGGCATATTCAAATTCGTGTATAGACACCATGCCTTTTTATGTTATAATTTGATATATATATATATATATATACTCACTACATCAGCGACCGATGATACTCTAGTGAAAAGGCAATGGGAAAAAGAGGTAATCAATGGCCGTTTTGTCTCCCGAACGAAACGGCCAGTCATTTTCTTTTTCGTTTCCTTTCTTTGAAAAGTAAACTAGACCCAATATATTATTAAAATACGTACGATACGTCAGTGTCCAAACAATGAGCTGCGTTGATTTCAGAACGCCCGTACGTGACCTTTAGAGTATCATACTTCTCCTCGTCGTTCTGACTGAAAATATATCATGTTGCTACGATCGAATAACTCATCTGGCAAAGCACGAGTGACATGCACGAATGCTAAACAAGTATCCTTGCCGCGTACGTGTGGGCACGTAGCTTCCGCAAAGATCTCACATCAGCTTTACGAGCGTGCAATCTATTCGTATTGAAAGTAAAAAATGTACTTCATTAAATCAATGCACGTTTCGCTTGAAAATGATTTAATCTTTATTTGATCCGGTGAAATTAGTTACATCTCGCATCATACCGAGTACTTATAAAAACCTGAGTTTTTTATTACCACCGCCAAAATGGAAGTATTCTCATATATATATATATATGAATGATTGGATGGATGTTTGAGAATCAACAACGCTCTGCGATTGACTTGGACGCTTGTCTCTGTTAAGCTAAGGATGAGCGAACTAGAAGTGAAGTTTTGCTTGTGGTACTACGCTAAATGTGCTACATTTCTTCTGGAAAAGTACACCTGGCATATGTGCTTACTATACTTTAGCTTGGATCGTCTGCTTTAGTCTGTTTCTATCCCCGCCAACTTTGGCGTGCATCCAAGCTAAATGATTCGAAATGTATCATTGAAACGTAACTGTTCGATATGGGAAACCTTTTTTCACACTGCTGACACTATGAGGGGTGAGGGTCGTCACAAGGAAAAACTCGTTTATCTTTCGTTCGGTGGATATACTTCTGTGTCTGAATGGCTGTCTCTGGTTCAGACTGTTGGCCATACCGTTCACGCTGCGGGCGAACGCACGAATCTATATAGGTGAAATGTGCGTAATAAAGTCCGCGTTGTTTTACCAAACGACAGTGGTACTATAGCACCGAACGTCTTACCGACACCCGCCACCTTCTTCCCACCGCTCTTCTCGGCTAACTAACGAAAAACTTTTCGACGACGATCTAATGGGCCGTGTATCTCACGTGTTTGCGCATGGCTAGTTGTTTACACTTCCTCTGCTTTACTCATTTGGCTTGCTTTTCGGATGGGTATTATAACAATGCGCCAGATCGAATCCAATTACTTCTTAGTTAGATAATATAACTTTTTCCCGTTCGTCAAACTGTCTAATTTTCCTATAAAGCCCAGGTTCGAATTTGGCCATAGACACGCTTTGTTTTGTGCTAGGAACCAGTTAGCCGTCCGTTTTATGAAATGCCTAATGGTTGTATCGAACGTACAAAACAACTCGAAACAAAAAACTGCGGAAAGCTACAAAGTGGAGACAAAAATCAATGCAACGTTTTTAATTTCTCCCCTATCAGAAGACGGTTTTTAATGAATGGTTGTATGCAGATTTTAGCTATGTACAGCTACACATTTGGCGAAAGTAGTAGTTTATTAGAAAATAATAGAAAAAAATGATCGTTCAGTGCTAAAGATAGGCGTTCAATGATTAACTATTATTTTTCAGAGATTAGATTTCTGACGGAATCAGTCACAAACTAGAAAACAACTGTTTCTACAACAACAAAACAAATGTTCGTCAATGGCACAGTTACTCCAAGTTTTACTGGGAGGTTGAAAGCTGTAGAGAAGGCAACTACTCCTTAAGACCGAAACGATAAAAATAGGGCTTGACATAGTTTTCTGTACATTGAGTGAACGACATTTATTGATTGAACAGTAATTGAAATAAGCTTTGGTCTCGTCAGAAA